TGTAGATCCCAAGGATACAGATGGCTAACTGTGCTATTCTAAATTTTTCCATTTATTCTCCTGTTGTATGTAGATTAATTCATTTAGCCCTCCCAACTACCCATTATTATCATCATCCCCATTTTATTTTATTTTATTTATTTTTTTTAGTGGGGCCAAACCACGTGGCTTTATTACACACTCGTGGACGAGGTTCTGGGGCCCCGAGAGAGAGGCCCGGAAGTCGCCCATCATCCCATTTTAAGATGCAAAACAAAGGCACAAGGAGGTTAGGTGCTTTTTTTCCAGAATTACAAAGCTAGTAGTGACAGAGCTAAGTTCTCTAGCGTCAAAACTCATGCTCTTCATCAATATGCTATAATGGTCCCCTTTTCTATAAGATTGTCACAATGCCACAAGCTTGAAATTGCAAAAGTCGAATTACTATTATACAAAGGCAATAATGATGAAAAGGTGGGAGAACTTGTGAGAAATTCAGGAATAAAACTGACAATGTGGGGAAACAGCTGTGAGACGAGAGGAGAGGGGAATCTAAGATGAGTCTCAGACTTCTGACTTGACTAACTGGGTAGTGGATGGGCTATTTGTAGAAATGGAAATTCAAAGGAGAAATCTGGTCGAAAAGATAGAAATTATTGGTCATTTCATGTTTGATGTCCTGTGAGGCAAAGAGGATAGCCAAGAAGTAATCAGAGATGCTAGTCTGTAGCCTAAGAAAGAGATCTAGGCTAGAGAAGTAGATTTGGAGTTCTCATACAGATTTGTTAAAGGCAATTTCAGTTAAGAAGAGTAGCAGAACAAACAAAGAGGACTGAGAGCAGATTCTGGGAACATTATCATTTAGGGATAAACATTAAAAGTATCCAGTGAGAAGCTAAGATACCAGAAGAGAGTAGTGTCACGGAATTCCAAGATGGAGTTTTAATGACCAAAATTGTCTTAACCCCACTAGAAAGTAAGCTCTATGAAGCCATGGGGCATATCTGCTTTGTTCACCAATTATCCCCATGCTATAAACCTGGGCACATGTAGATGGTCAAAAACATTTCCCGGCTTATGATAAGAAACAATCAACAGAATTAAATTCCACACAAAGTTCTGGGAGACAAAGAGTGAGAAGTATCATTTTTTTAGCAACTTTGGGAGTGACTCCTGACGTCTTGTCCAGAGCAATTTCAGTGCATATGGGGCAAAAGCAAAACGGGATACTTAAAGAATTAGTTACATAGTTTTCATGTATTACTTTTCTACATTTTTTAACTGAAAAAAATTCTTGAGGTGCAGCCGCAAAGGTGGCCGCGCTTCGCCATCATGCAACACATTTTTATTAAATAGAAAAAAATAAAAAATTCATTAGAAGTTGATGGGAGTGAGAAGTGTAGCCACTGGCACAGGCCATTTCTGGATGAATCTTGTCACGCAGGAAATAAGGAATATAGAGCTGCAATTTAACAGGGGCACAGGATCAAAACATTTTTCCTTAAATGGGATGAAACTTGCTTTGTTCACCGTCAAATTGCGGGGCCAGGCACAATCGGCCAGCTTAACAACAGGGTTCATCAGACAAGGCTGCCCATATCTCCATTCTGTTCAACATAGTGCTGGAAGTCTTGGCTACAGCAATCAGACAGGAAAATGGATTAAAAGTATCCAATAGGGGCGAAGAGATCAACTTTCACTGTTGCTGTGATTATTATATTATATCTAGAAAACCCCAAAGATTTCAACCAAGAACTCCTGGAACTGATCAATGATTTAGTAAGAGTCTCAGGATACAAATCAATACACAGAAATCAGAGGCATTCATATCGCCAACAAACAATAAAATTGAGAACCACATCAAAGACTTATTCCCTTCACAATAGCAACAAAGAATTAAAGTGCCTAGGAATTAACTTAACCAAGGAGGTAAAGACCTCTACAGGAGAACTATGAAACACTGGAGGAAGGAAATAGCAGAGGATGTAAACAGATGGAATCCATACCATGCTCGTGGATCGGCAGGACTCAACATCATCGAAAATGTCTATTACTACCCAAACTGATCTACGATTCAATGCAATACCTATTAAAATCCCATCAGCATTCTCACAGATATAGAAAAATAATTTTCGCTTCGTATGGAACCAAAGAAGACCCCAAATATCAAAAGCAATTCTAGGCGGGCGCGGTGGCTTACGCCTGTAATCTTGCATCTGGGAGCCGAGGCGGGCGGATTGCTCAAGGTCAGGAGTTCAAAACCAGCCTGAGCGAGACCCCGTTCTACCATAAAAAATAGAAAGAAATTAATTGCCAACTAATATATATAATTAAAATCAGCCGGCATGGTGCTCGTGCCTGTAGTCCCAGCTACTCGGGGAGCTGAGGCAGGAGGATTGCTGAGCCCAGGAGTCTGAGTGCTGTGGAGCGAGGCTGATGGCACGGCACTCACTCTAGCCTGGGCAAGAAAGCGAGACTCTGTCTCAAAAAAAAAAAAAAAAAAAAGAATTCTAGGCAACAAAAACAAAATGGGAGGCATTAATATGCCAGATATCAAACTATACTACAAAGCTGTAGTAATTAAATCAATATGGTATTGGCACAAAAAGGAATATTGACCAGTGGAACAGATGTGAGATCCTGATAGAAAACCATCTCATAAGCCATCTATCTTTGACAAAGCAGACAAAAAACATACGCTGGGGAAAAGAATCCCTTTTCAATAAATGTGCTGGAAAACTGGATAGCCACTAGAAGCTAAAACAGGACCACACCTTCACCTCTCACAAAACCAACTCATGCTGATAACAGACTTAAACCTAAGGTATGAAACTATTAGAGATTCTAGAGGAAAAAGTTGGAAACACTCTCCTAGACATGCCTAGGCAAAAGTTTATGAAGAGTCCCAAAGGCAATCACAGCAGCAACAAAAATAAATAAATGGACATGATCAAACTACAAAGCTTCTGCACAGCCAAAGAAATAGTCATGAAAGTAAACAGACAACCTACAGAATGGGAGAAAATTTTTGCATCCTATGCATCCGATAAGGGACTGATAACTAGAATATACTTAGAACTCCTAAAAATTAGGAAGAAAAGCCGGGCGCTGTGGCTCACGCCTGTAATCTAGCTCTTGGGAGGCCGAGCGGGCGGATTGCTCAAAGGTCAGGAGTTCAAAACCAGCCTGAGCAAGAGCGAGACCCCGTCTACTATAAATAGAAGAAATTAATTGGCAACTGATATATATATAAAAATTGCCGGGCATGGTGGCACATGCCTGTAGTCCCAGCTACCGTGGGAGCTGAGGCAGGAGGATGCTTGGCCAGGAGTTGAGGTTGCTGTGAGCTAGGCTGAGCCACGGCACTCACTCTAGCCTGGATAACAAAAGCGAGACTCTGTCTCAAAAAAAAAAAAAAGAAAAAAAAATTAGGAAGAAAATAATTAACCCATTAAAAAGTGGGCAAGACTTGAACAGAATTTTCTAAAGAAGACAGAAGAATGGCCAACAAACATATGAAAAAAGTGCTCAACATCTCTAATCATCAGGGAAATGCAAATCAAAACCACAATGAGATATCACTTAACTCCAGTGAGAATGGCCTTTATCAAAAAGTTCTCCAAACAATAAATGCTGGCATGGATGCGGAGAGAGAGACACTCCTTACACTGCTGGTGGACTGCAAACTAGTTCAACCTCTGTGGAAAGCAAGATGGGATACCTTAAAGCGATACAAGTGAATCATACCATTTGATCCAGCAATCCATTGCTGGGCATCTACCAAAAGATCCAATGACACTCTACAAAGACACCTGCACTCATCGTTTATAGCAGCACAATTTCATAATTGCAAGGCTGTGGAAACAGCCAATTGCCCTCAATCCAAGAATGGATTAATAAATGTGGTATTGTATACATGGAGTACTATTCAGCGCTAAGAAACCAATGGTGCATAGCACATCTGTATATTTTCTGGTTAGAGCTGGAACCCATACTATAAGTGAAGTTTCCCAAGAATGGAAAACAAGCACCACCATATATACTCACCAGCAAATGGTATTAACTGACAGCACCTAAGTGGTCACATAGGTACTACAGTAATAGGTATTGGCAGGGTGAGTGGGAAGGGCGCGGTATATAAGTATATAATTAGTGAGATGTGCACCATCTGGGGGATGGTCATGCTGGAGACTCAGACTTGTAGGGGGAGGGGGGAAATGGGCATTTATTGAAACCTTAAAATCTGTACCCCCATAATATGCTGAAATAAAAAAATAGCATTATATATATATAGTCATACATGTATTATGACATATACATGCATTTCATATTACATATATATACAAGAACAAATGTATGTGTTTATATTAATATGAAATGTTCTTCTGAGAATAAAGAACTAGAATTCTTATTGACTATTCTTCAAGATAATAGAAATTTGATAACTGCATTAAACAATTAACATTACCTAAATTTATCACTGTATTGCATCTTATTTATAATTTATTACATATTAACAACAAATAAAGAATACAAACAAATGGATTTAAATTATACATATATAATCATGTGCTTCTTTCTATTAAATGTGTGTAAAATCTGCAAAAAAAACAAAAAACAAAAAAAACAAGAGGGTTCAATGAAGCCCTGAGCTGCCCGGTGGCCGGCTTGCAGGACGCTGTCAAACAGACGGGCGCTGGAGTCTTTCCTTTTTGATTAGACAGGGACAAATGAAAACTCAGGCTTAGTCCCTGACAGCGCAGCACCCCGCGCTAAGCTCTCTCACTTTAGACCGCGTGGAAACCAGGGGCCAACAGGACAGACACCGACACACCAGAGAGTTGTGGAGTGGGAGGGGAAAACACAGCCCCGCCCGCTGAAAGGCGTTTCACGTCTACTATCCCCGATTTCTGCAGGCCCTTTCCGAAATGGCTCTACTTCCTAACATGCCTCGGACGAAGGGGAAGTGACGTGACCTGTCGCGCGCGATTGGCGGAAGCAGAAGTTGCTTTGCGGCCCGCACGGAAATTGCTTTGCGGCCCGCACGGAAATTCCTTTCCTTTCGGCTTCCGCTCTTGGTCCACGTGAGACAAGCAGGCTGCTGAGATGACCGCGGACCGAGCTGCGGAGAGGTGAGCGATAAATAGGAGATAGTGGGTTCTGGGTCTCCTTGAGGGCCGGGTTCCCCAGATTTGGGGAAATGGGAGCTGCCTTTTAACAGACGACAGTGGCTCCCTTCCTAAGATTTCGCCACTCGTTACTATTTTCTGTGACTCATCCTATCTAGCCCTTTTAATTTAATTTAATTTAATTGGCTTCTTCCCTCCTCAGCTTTTTAGCAGCATCCCTGTTGGTCCTGATGCTGCCTCTCCCACTCCAGCTAAGTTAATATGTTTCACTTTTCTTGTCACGTGACTCCTTTTCTTGCCTCTGCCGCGGCCCGCTTTATACGCGCAGGCTGTGCAGTGGTTATAAACTCCCCGCATCTTGGAAACCTTTGCTGATTGGAGTCATTCACCACGTTTTCACATGATGTTTCGTGCCCCTCGAACTAGATTTAGACCGTTTAGTAATGTTTGCCTTGCAACTACCGGTACGTGCTGTTAGGTAACAGACATAATTTGTTTGTGGGTACTAACCTCCTTAATTAAGCACTTACCTTACGAGCAAACCCAAAGAAAAATGGCTTACTCAGCTGCTTTCAACCAATTCCCTGTGTCCCCATTCCTGGGAGCAAGTGATCAAAGTGACACTTTTGAGTAGGAGTACGCTTAGAAATAATAATAGTGAAACTGCCCTACCTAGAGGGCCAGCAACAGCGTCTTCTGCCACCTTAAACCCTAGAGTTTGACATTTTTATAGTTTCCCAGAGATCAATAGGAAATGTGCCAGTCACTGCAGTGTTAGAGCTTTTTCAGGCAGTGTCATATGGGCTATCACCAACCACTGCTCACCTCTTAGAGGTAATGGCTGACTTCAGTTTAAATTCAATGTTTTGACAAATTTCCAAAGGTGTTCACTTTGTTTTATTTGTACATCTTCTAAGAGATGGGGCTATTCCGTGCTGAGAACTAAAAGTTATAATGTTTTAATGGAAAGTTATTCCAAATGATACTATTTCTCTGTTACCTTTTAACAGCCTTCTGGCTTTGAGCCAACAGGAAGAACTAGTGGATTTGCCAAAAGACTACCCGTTGAGTGCCAGTGAAGATGAGGTGGGTGACAGCCACTAAACTGCCCTCAAAAGCAGGGTAGACCTTCCGAGAAAGGAAAGGAGTGGTAACATTGTATATATTTGTTCATGTATAAGTATTGTATTAAGTGCTTTGGAACTTTGAAGTCCATAAGTTAAAATCACTGTCCTCAAGTTGTTTATAGTTTATAAGGCCAAAATACATGGTCTTCATTATATGACTTCCCCATTTCCCAAGTTTGAATTTCTGTGAAGAGTTATTTAATTGTCTGACTGAAATATACTGTTTTAAGCTGGATTTCCAGCAGATGCTTATAGGAATTCCAACTCTTTATTCCCTTGACAAATGACTTAAGTTGGTTTTTCTTGGGTGGGGGCATACAGCATATCTGTTTTAATAACAAGGAGGGGTTTTTTGTTTGACTTTTTCTTCCTTTTTTTGTTTTTTAGACAGAGTCTCACTCTGTTGCCCGGGCTAGAGTACTGTGGCGTCAGCCTAGCTCACATCAACCTCAAACTCCTAGGCTCAAGCAATCCTACTACCTCAGCCTCCCTAGTAGCTGGGACTATAGGCATGTGCCACCATGCCTGGCTAATTTTTTTTTTGTGTGTGATATATTATATACTTTTAGTTGTCCAGCTAATTTCTTTTCTTTTTTTTTTCAGTAGAGATGGGGTCTCTTGCTCAGGCTGGTCTTGAACTCCTAACCTCAAGCGATCCTCTCGCCTCAGCTCCCAGAGTGCTAGGATTACAGTGGAGCCACTGTGCCTGGCCTTCTTTCTTTCTTTCTTTCTTTTTTTTTTTGTTTGGAGACAGAGATCTCACTCTGTCACCTGGGGCTAGAGTACCGTGGTGTCAGCTAGCTCATATCAACCTCAGACTCCTGGGCTTAAGCCATCCTCCTGCCTCAGCCTCCTTAGTAGCTGGGACTACAGGTGTGCCACCACACCCAGCTAATTTTTTCTTTATTTTAGTATAGACAGGGTCTCACTCTTGCTCAGGCTGGTTTAAACTTCTGAGCTCAAACCATCCTCTTGCCTTGCTCCCAGAGTGCTGTGATTACAGGCATGAGGACCAACGCCGGCCAGTTGTGTTTTCTCTAGGAAAAGCCACCTCGGTGACTGTGGCTATGACTTATACTATATGTTAGGTGTTTTGTGCACATCACACGCTATACTATGCAGAACATCATTCTCAGCTCTTTTTGTCCAACAAGTTAGGACAGAGGCATGACATTAGCTCCCAATTACAGAGTCTATGTTTCTTATAATGAGAGAGTTTGGATTTTGAACCTATTCTTTCAGTTTTAGCTAGAATGCCTGCACACCAGACCTCATCTGATTTCCCCATTCTCCACTGACCAAAAGAATGAGAGATGTAATGGCTAGTTTCCATGTTGTCTTTTTCCTCCCCTCATTATTTGATGGTTTTTCCTTTTCTGTGTCTAGGGGGACAGTGATGAGAGAGAGAAAGCATCAAAAGCTTCTGGAAGCAATCAGTTCCCTTGGTGGAAAGAATAGTAACATTCCCATCAATTTGGGCAGGTTATAGCTGATGCCATGAGACTTCTCTCTAGCTAACATTTATTGAGTGCCTAGTGTAAGATCTTAATTCCAGTGCTTGCACATAATCGCATTATATAATTGTTAGCTATTATTATCCTTATTGCTGTTATTGTGTTAGGGCTTCATGCATTGAATTCTTACTTAATTCACACTTACAATCTTTTGAAGCATTGAGTAGGCATTACCTATTCCCAGTAGAGAATGAGAATAAGTTAATTGACTTACTCCAAGGTCACCTGGCTCATAAGTGGCCAGATTCAGGTGTTTGAATCAAAGTCCATATGTTTCCACAATGCTACCTTGTATCTACCTGTGTTCTGAGGGCTGAGTCTACATAAGAGAAGAGATTAGGGTTAGACTACCAAATCCAGATTAGAAATAGATTTCCTGGTGCTTTGTGAAAACCTGACCCTAGGAGAGAATACAAAAAACTGAAGCCTTGTTTTGAGAAGGTGTTTGTCCCTACAAAATTACCCATTCCTATTGTATTGTTTTGCCTAATTCCAGGCGGAAATTGGCTGAGAGATCTGAGGCTAGCTGAAAGTGTCAGAGTTCAATGTCAGTTCTGAAGGTAAGTTGACCAAAGGAAGATATCTATGCCTAGAGCTTGTGCGGTTCCGAAGCACAGTGGTCACCTCACTCCCACCCCTACCCGCAGGAGCTGTCTTTGATGTGGTTAATGACTCATACCATATGTACAAGGATGGTGGGTGAAGAAGGTAGTCAAGTGCCTTTGAATTTCTTCCATTTCTCAAAGAAAGCCTAGAAGGCTATGTTCTTGACCTATGGAGCTTGATGAGATACTTCTGGGATAGAGGCTGTCACTTACTAGCTTAGTCATACTTCATATTGTATAGCTCTTTAGTGTGCACAATTTCATTTTTATTTCAGTTCTCTCAAAATTCTTTGAGTTAAGACAGGCAGATGTTCTTCAGCTGGAGCTCAGAGGTCAAGTTACTTAAGGCCATCCTAGTACAGTGTTCCTCAACCTTTTTTTCTTTAGACATTTTTATTCTTCCCACCCCCTGCCTCCCTCCACCATGAAATCAAATACTAAGGAATAAGATTTGTTGGACAGTCTTGAGCTTTGGAGGGCACCAAACTTTGTAATATCTGAGAATTGTTTCAACCCTCCCCACCCGGAACCATTTCTACCCAGGGGGTGGTGAAAATCACCATGTGAGAATAATGCTCTAATAAGTTTGGCAAAGTTGGGGTTTTAACTTAATACCAGTCTAGATGCAGCTCTTTTTCACCTCTTCACAACTTAAGCAGCTGGAATGGTTTGTGTTTGTAGGTACTACTGGTGTAGCCTCTCAGGCAGTATCAATCGTAATTTCTTCCAAGCATATTCATTCAGATATTTGTTATACTTCTATGTATCAGTAATTGTTCAGGTCTAAGGCTACAGTGAAGAATAAGACATGATCTTAGAGGGACTTCTAATGAGGGGAGATAATCAGTGAATTAAAACAAAATGATGCATCCAGCACTTAGGAGGAGCAAGACAGGAAGATCACTTGAGGTCAGGATTCAAGACCAGCCTGAGAAGCACAAGACCCTGTCTCTACAGAATAGAAAAATTAGCCAGGCATGGTGGCACGCACCTGTAGTCCAGCTACTTGGGAGCAGAGCCAGAGGATTGTTTGGAACCCAGGAGTGTGAGGTTGCAGTGAGCTATGATGACACACTGCACTCTGCGCTGGGTGACAGAGTGAGACCCTGTCTCAAAAAAAAAAAAAAAAAAGAGTAACACAAGATGATGTAATAAAGTGACTAAGTGGCTACTTTAAATTGATTGGTCATGAAAGGTCTGTGAAGAAGAAATTTTGAGATCTGAATAACAAAGTCAACATGCAAAAATAAGAGAAGGCATTTCAGGCCTGGGAAGTGCAAAGACTCTTAGAGACGCACAGCATATGGAGAATAGGAAGAAGGCCATGTGACTACAGAGCATAGTAGAGGGTGGGAATTACATGAAGTTAGAGAGGCAATGGGTACCAGATCCATAGGGCTATGTCTTTAGGTTGATGAGATACAGGTATGATGGAATCATTGGAGGATTTTCAGAGGTCATGACATGCTGTGTTATATTTTCTTTTTCTTTTTTTTCTTTTTTTTTTTTTTTTTTTGAGCAGTCTCGCTGTGTTGCCCAGGCTAGATGTGAGTGCAGCTAGCTCATAGCAACCTCAAACTCCTGGGCTCAGGCAATTCCCTTTTTTTTTTTTTCCAGTACTGCGCCTGCCAAGTAGCTGGGACTACAGGCATGCACCACCATGCCCGGCTAATTTTTTCTATATATTTGTAGTTGGCCAATTAATTTCTTTCTATTTATAGTAGAGACGGGGTCTCGCTCTTGCTCAGGCTGGTTTCGAACTCCTGACCTCGAGCAATCCGATGACCTCGGCCTCCCAGTGTGCTAGGATTACAGGTGTGAGCCACTGCGCCTGGCCTATTTGCTCTTTTAAGTAGGTGCATGATGTGGTCCAATTTACATGATTGGATGAAGGAAGACTGAAAACTAAAAGGCCAACAAAAATTATAACTAACATTTATTGAGCATTTAATCTGTGACAGGTACAGTCAGTCAACTTTCCGTATTCCAGAGGCATTGGTTCCAGGACCCCTGTGGATACCAAACTCTGGATGCTCAAGTCCCTGATAAAAAATGGCATAACATTAGCATATAACCTATGCACATCCTCCTGTATACCTTAAATCATCTCTAGATTACTTAGAATACCTAATACAATGTAAATAATTGTTATATAGCATTGTTTTGTATTATTTTTATTGTTGTATTACTTTTTATTTTTATTTTTCAAACATTTTCTGTCTTTGGTTGGTTGAATCAGCAGATGTAGATCCCAAGGATACAGATGGCTAACTGTGCTATTCTAAGGTTTTTCCATTTATTCTCCTGTTGTATGTAGATTAATTCATTTAGCCCTCCCAACTACCCAATTATTATCATCATCCCCATTTTATTTTATTTTATTTATTTATTTTTTTTTAGTGGGGGCCAAACCACGTGGCTTTATTACACACTCGTGGACGAGGTTCTGGGGCCCCAAGAGAGGGGGGCCCCGGAAGTCGCCCATCATCCCCATTTTAAAGATGCAAAAACAAAGGCACAAGGAGGTTAGGTGCTTTTTTCCAGAATTACAAAGCTAGTAAGTGACAGAGCTAAGATTCTCTAGCGTCAAAACTCATGCTCTTCATCAATATGCTATAATGGTCCCCTTTTCTATAAGATTGTCACAATGCCACAAGCTTGAAATTGCAAAGGTCAGAATTACTATTATACAAAGGCAATAATGATGAAAAGGTGGGGAGATACTTGTGAGAAATTCAGGAAATAAAACTGACAATGTGGGGAAACAGCTGTGGAACGAGAGGAAGAGGGGAATCTAAGATGAGTCTCAGACTTCTGACTTGACTAACTGGGTAGTGGAT